TCATGAGTCTTATCTAGGTGTGTCTTCATTTAGGCAAAAGCGCGTTCGGTTGTATGTTTACTCGTGTTTGGACCCGCATCACCTCCATTGGCCGCTCTGGTCACATGGTTCGCTAACTTTATTCAGTTGACACCAAGTAGGAGGGCTCTATGGAGGAGAGGAAAAAAAGACAACTCGAGAAAAATTAGTATTTTCTACCTTCAGAAATTAATGGCCATGAGTTCGTATATGGTGAACTCTAAGTATGTGGATCCCAAATTTCCTCCCTGCGAGGAATACTCGCAGAATAACTACATACCTGAGCAGGGCTCGGACTTCTACAGCCCGGCGCAGGACGCGGACTTCCAACACCCAGGGATCCTCTACCCGCGGTCAAACTACACAGAGCAGCCGTTTAGTTGCAGCACTGTGCCGGACTCAGCGGTGCAGCCACGGGGTCACGCCGGCCACACTGCCCACTTTGACGCACAGACTGAGCAGGGCCCCCCGGTCCAAACGGCCGGACCTCGGACTTGTGGGCAGCAGCAAAACGCAAAGAGTCAAAATGGGCTCCAAGCCAAGCAACCTGCAGTAGTTTACCCCTGGATGAAGAAAGTTCACGTAACTACCGGTAAGATTTACCTCCTTTTTGCCTCCTGGTAGTTATAGGAAGTCATTTAATGTAATATTTATGGGCGTCTTTGAAAGGCCCAGACAATTACACAAGTCATAAATTTTTATAGCTCAGGAAATAGGCCACAGAAAGCTTCTGAGAGAACATACTAGCCGCTAGTGATTTTATTTAATCTGAGGGAAATCTGTTTAAAACCATATTTTAAAAGAAAAAAACAAACAAACAAACAAACAAAAAGGGAGCTTTTTCTTTGGGGTTGCTTTCCTTAAAGTTTTTTTCTTTTCTTTTTTTTGCGCACTGCTCACACCTACTTTCTCTTGTAGCATGTTGTTTTTGTCTTCATGCTCCACTTGGCAACATTTGGTGACTCTATTTCTGCTCTCCTTCTTCCACTTCTTATTGTTTTTCCAAACCAGTGAACCCGGACTACACGGGATCAGAGCCCAAGCGCTCCAGAACCGCATATACCCGGCAGCAGGTCCTGGAGCTGGAGAAGGAGTTCCACTTCAACCGGTACCTGACCAGGCGGCGGCGGATCGAGATCGCCCACACACTCTGTCTGTCCGAGAGGCAGATCAAAATCTGGTTCCAGAACAGGAGGATGAAGTGGAAGAAGGACCACAAGCTGCCCAACACCAAAGGCAGATCGGCGCCGGCCTCCGGCCATCTGCAGAACATTCAAAAGGATAACCAGACTGATATAACAGCGCTATAAAGGACAGAGGAGGAGGATTCAGGACGAATATTTGTACATAAACGAAGACAAAGGCTGCATTTTGACTTCTGCATGGACTGATGTCGTTTGAGCATTATTTTTTAATTTAACAAAAAAATATCCCAGCAACTTTGACTCAAGACTGTGTCAGAAAATCAATCATTTGGTATTACTGAGAGGTTTCAACTTATTTTTATTTTTATTTTTTTTATTTTTTTGCATTTTAGATTTTTTTTACTTTGTTTTATTGATTTCCTCACAGTCAGAAAAACATTTATTTTTCTTTATCAAGCCAAATTGTTTTTATAAAACCCGTTCAAATTCATGAATTTAAACCTTTTTTTTCCCTCTCACGTCAATATTACGTTGCCATATATATATTTTATTTTATTATAACGCAGCAGTGAGGCAAACAGATACAAAATTCCACATATTTTGTTTCACTTTTTCATCCACGAAAACGCACAACTTAGGTACTTGAAGCAAACGATATTTACATAAACACTCATTGACCTTTCTTTGCAAAAAAAGCAACTTTCTTTTCGTAACTTGTTTGTTTTAACTTATTTTGTAAAAAATGTTCGTAGCTCGTATATTATTCTCAGACCTAAGACATTCCTGCGCGTGAAGGATTCCGAGTGCCCTTATAAATCTCTCCTGACACCTTTGTAAACAGTGTACATTTTCAGAAAACTCTCACAAGAAAGATCATTTGTTCTTGCATGGCACCAAATCTGTATTTCTTTCTGAGGATATTCCCAAATCCTGAATATTTAGGAATATATATCTATGTTTTCCTTGATAATTCGTTATTTATTTGATGAAAACAATTTTTTACATTTTCGCGTAGCACACACTTTCATTAAAAACACTTTCGATCAAACTTTGGTTTTTTTTATATAACAAGTTTGATTCTTGTGCATTTTTAACATGGCTTTCCACACACTTTTAGAATTTAGATACAGATGGGAATCTTTTAAAAACCAAACCAAACCGAGGGCGGAGAGGGAACTTCTTTCAGGTTACGTTTCCAGGCAGATATTTCTTGTGTTAGACCGTCATTGTCCTCGGACAACAAGAAGAAAAAAAAAGACCCAGAAGTTTTCCCAGTATGAAGGTCTCTTTTCTGAAGTCTTCCTCAACAGAGAGCTGAAAAGGTATTTAAACCGAAGAGCGACAAAAGCAGAAGAGGCAGGTTCATCCAGGGGACACATTTCAGCCGCAAGGACTGACCCCAGCACCCCCTGACCCGCCGGACAGGCAGCTTTTTCTCTCCCAGGCGCTATTTTTGTTTGGATGGGGGGAAAAAAACAAAAAGCCAGTTGGACTGCTTAAAACAAAGCTAAACCTGATTCACAGTAAAGGGCCAGTCAGTTCCACAGTCCTACTCGTATTTTAACCGTATTTATATCACCACCCTCCCTCCCCCTTGTCGAGAAGGCTCTGATTTGTATTTTTGTCGTATTGCATTAATCAATATGCAATTTTTTCATCAATTTTTATTTTTGTAAATGCTTTTTACCTTGTACGGTGCTTTGAAATGTGAGAAGTATATATATATAAAAAATAAAGATTTCTACTGATTATTCATTTGAGTATTTGGCAAAAATGTTCTGTCTCCTGGATGCTTATGTTCTTCATTCGGCAAAGACAAACAAAAGACAGATTTCGAGGAAACGACGCTTCCTTAGCCGATGGGGTATGTACGATCTTTGTGACTGTTTAAAGAAATCTGCAGCTGTTGGAATGGAATTGCAATACTTTTTGTATATATATATATATATATATATATATATATATATATATATATATATATATATATATATATATATATATATATGAATATAATTTTTTTCACGGTTTGTGTTTTCGCAAGATTTGATCACAATTTGAAGCTAAGTACGTGGAGCATTTAAAAAAAAAAAAATCACAAATGGAGCAAATGCGCGCTGTGTGGGCTTATAAGGCCTGCCCGGGAAATTACGACTTTTACTAACAAAGAATGTTTCACTTGCACGACAGCGGAAAGCTCTGTTTTGACACAAAAGGGGGCTCACTCTTCTGTGTTTCTCGTTTTCAGGTGCGATTTTTTTTTATTTTATTTGTGAACAAACTTTTATATACGAGTGTCTGACTACACCAGACGCAGGCGCAGGTTAAGAAAGGACAAATTACAACAACACACTACATGCATGAGGACTTTTATTAAACTTAGGTTAGACAAATAATTTACAGATTTGCATCGAAGTGTTTAAGGAAAGGGTTTGAAAAAGGTCGAAAAGACCAAAAATATTCAAGGAGATAATATTAAACATTTGGATACCTTTATTTGTTTATTTTTTATTTCCCAGATGAAATAAAAACAAATCAAGAGATGTGGCCACTCAAGCAGTATAAGACATTGATTAAACTACATAATAATATCTAAATACACCCCCACCCCCTCAATAACCACAACAAATAGTCAATATAATCAAGTGAAAAGCACAGTTTGCGCTTATCAGCTGGAGCGCATACTGTGCGTAAAAACGTCTTCGTTAACTGTGCACAGTTAATACTCTTGCTTATGTTTTTATTCCAAAGGAAACGTTATTTAAATCTTACAAATAAAATTAATAAGAATTTTCACGTCATTCTCCCCAATTAACTAAAACCCAGATAAAAAACAAAACGAAAACAAAAAAAAAACTAACACATATCTCTCCAATACCACATTAAGTCAGCTGTGACTCTTTTCCACTTTTACCAAAGACACAGAGTAGAAATGCATACTTTATTTGAGCTGTGGCTTTATTGGGGATGACTCTCTGCAGCGGTGACCTCCGACCCCCCACACTACAGAATCAGCTCTGATCCAAACAAAGCGGCCATAAACAGACATGTGGAAAGACAATCCGCAGCCGCACGCTTCCCCCACACCCCATCTGTACATCATCTAGATTGGGTCATGCTCACAAACTGTAATGTGCAATATAAACATGTCATAAACATGCAGAGGTAAAGGGATGCATGCACATGTGATCTCGGGAACTTAGCATGCCTTATTATATTAGTCTATTAGCACAACTGTGATGCGAGTGGGTTTCAATTTATGGAGGAATCCCTCCATGCACTCTGCAGCTGCTGGAATCGCAACAAGAATTGGAAATAAAACGCCCCTCAGTTATCAGGTCAGAGCAGCCTACTATACTATACGCCGTGCAGCCACACTGACCTACATGTCTGAACAGCAATAAATGGGAGCCAAAGGCAGTGCCATTTTCAATGACACTGCACCCAGTGCACAGGAACAGCGCCGCTGCTCTCCATCCGGCCATATTTGATTTCCAGCTGTTGGTTTCGCAGAAGCTTCTCTGAGCCAGACAGGCAACCGACCAACCAGCCAACCAACCAACCAACCAACCTCCCCCCCTTAAGATATATTAAAGTGCGCCGTCTGCATTCAGAGATATAATCCAGAGACTATACCACTCCGCTTCTCTGTTCTCCAACCACGTGATTGTCTAAATAATTAATGCAGCACGTCCCCCTAGAAACACGGCGTCGTCATTAATCGCAAGGACTCTATCAGAGTTGAAAACTGAAGAGATCCCCCCTCCAAAGAAAATAATATCCGATACTCGGCGCGACTGTTAGCTGCGGCTCTGAACCGATGGATGCTCGGGTAGGTAAATATTTCTGCATTTTTCATGTCGCCTCAGCTTGGCAAATGACCATATCAAATGTCTGTGATATTTGATGAATTGCACCTCCTTTCTCTGATGTGTGCGCTCCTGCATAGGCGCAGTTGTTTAGACTGTGGTCTACGGTCGCTGTAAGCGCATTTCTTCCCTGTTTTAAATAATATTAAATGTCTGCTCCAGTTCCAGAGATGACTGGTTTGCTGTCTCCGCATGGACATTTGACTAAATGTCGGGGAGTAAATCGCAGGAGCCTAAAGTCGTTTCTGTACAAAAGATTGAGTTTTAGCTAATTTATTTCTCTTTTCGCGTCAGAGTTTTATTGTATCTTAAGCAAACGCGCGCGCAAAAAAGAAAAAAAAATGTGGACTGAATATTTTTCATACGGGAGCTTTTAAAATGAAGCAAGGATGTGATTTTTAAGGTAATTTTGATGCATAGTTTACAATAGCAGAAGATGAATAACTACTCGTATACCTTTTTGTATTTTCGGCCCCTTTTTTCCCCCGTATTATTTTTATTCTTAGAGTGGCATGATTTGCTTTCGGTTCCTCAGAAGTGCTGGAAGTTTGGACAGCCTGACAGCTCTGCCTCCTTGTAAATCACTCCCAGTAATTCCTGAAAGGGTGCGAGGGAGCCTGTTTGGGGGGCCGGCCGAAAACTGTAAATCTTTCACTTTTATTACCCCTCTGAACATATGCCGGCGACGCTGTACCAGCCCTGCAACCCCCCTTTTTTTTCTTCCTTCTTCCCTTGTTCTGCAGCGACGACAACCCGCCGCTAAACCAAGCAGCCAGCCTGCGGCTTTGAAATCCTCCTCTGCTAATCCAGTTTGGTTTTTCCAACGCATTTGATGTTTTTTACTTGGCATCGAACATTCCCTTTATTTGGTGATTAATGCGGAAAACAACACAGGAGAAGGCAAGCATGCTCTTGTGACTCTTTGTGCAGCATCCATGGTGTTAAGGCAGACATACACATATATACACACACACACACACACACACACACACACACACACACACACACACACACACATATACACAAATAACAAACGCGGGATGATAATTTGCTTTATTTGAATACAATCCACGACCAGCTGCAAGAGAAGCTCATGTCATTTATTTCATAAATCATTTGTTTTGTTTTTTTTTAAACGCACATGTCAAACTAGTGTTCTGCAGAAACGTCACTCTCCATTATTTGGTGATGCATAAAATGCGTCCGTCATTCGTTTTATCACTAAATCCCTCCAAATATGTCGAGGTCCTGGATTTCTTGCAAAAACGTTAGCACCAATGCAACGTGAAATGGACTTGACATTTTACACGAATGCATTGCAAAAATGGGCAAAAATGCTGAAAAAACAAACAAACCAAAAAACAAAAAAAAAAAAAAAAAAAAAAAAAAAAAAAAAAAAAACAAAACAAAACAAAACAACAAAAGACAATACCGATGGACTAAAATGGACACAGAACGACAGAAAACATTCCGGAGTTGTTAAACTGAGGCTTGTTGCAGTCCTTCATATTCAAAGAAGAAGTAGAGCCATTTTCCCAATCACACACCTCAGACGAGCACATAAACGCCACCCTTTATCAAAATGGACCGGTGAGGTAAGGGCTCCCTGCTTGAAGACGAGAACAAATCACGTGAACATATATGCTTGTATCTAAAAGGCAGTGCCATTTTATTTGTCATCATAAAAGCTTCAGAAACAAGCCACCCCCCAAAAAAAATAAAAAATAATAAATAAAAAAATAAATCCCCAATCTACACAGGCCTATCCTCGATATCTCACTGGTTGATTGATTGCCAGTGGATTTTTTTTCTCTCTCCTTTCCCCCTCTTCCTTGGAATAAGGATACCTTGTTCGCTTTTTTTATTGGTAGCTGAAAGCGAGTCCTTCCATTCTTTCGGGAATACTGTCTCCAACCGGTGTATGGAAATGTCTGAAAAACAGCAAGATCAGGTTTAGGACAGCATCGTCTGCAGACAGGGAGGAAAAAAAAAGAGAGGAGTGAAGGATTTATTCTAGAAGCTGCACGGAGAGGAAGTCAGAGCTGAGAGGCAGCCGCTTTATGATGAATTGATTCGCAGGTAAGCAATTGCATGGCGAGAAAGCAACCTTTAACCGCGGGTTAATACAATGCAAAGGATTATTCATATTATGATGCATTCCGTCCAAGGAGGGGAGGCTCGTTAAATATGCGGATATGGAGCTCCTATCTCTTCCTTTAACCGTTTATATAAAATGTATTTTTCCATTCAAATTGTATCGACAGATTGACTTCTGCGCTTTTCAGCCCATTATGAAAGCCTGCTTAGAGGAGGAAGAAGAAGAAGAAGAGGAAGGAGTAGGAGAGGAACTTTTCTTTTTTGACTCTTGGATCGTAAATCACATTAATTTGTTGTCTTATCGTCACACTGGCGTTTGGTGTGATTTATGTGGTTTCAGCTGTATGTGGCTTTGTCAGCCTGCAACGTTGTATGTTTTGCACGGATTCATACCGGGGATTTCGACCAACAACAATAGATTAAAGATATATATATATATATATATATATATATATATATATATATATATATATATATATATATATATATATATATATATATATATATTTAAGTTAATAATTCCACAACGGAATGTTTATTCCCTCGTTTATCCACATTTTGCCTGTTGTTAAACAACTAGACAACTTCAACTCATACGTGTTCTTTAATGTAATGCCAGAACGCGTGATTTCACTGCCGTACTATCTGACACACTTCTAAATTACGACCATTCTGTAGTAAACACTTAATGTTTCATCTTCAAATACTACATATTGATTTTGGAACAAAGGCTGATTGTTCTCCATTTCCTTTTATTTATTTATATATGTATTTTTTTTTAAATTTAATCAAAATTACACCGGACGATTAAACTGAGATATTGAGGGAATTTCAGAAGGTCTGATCGACTGCGTGAGATAATAACACTCCAGTCCGAGTCCCGACGCATTGTGTGGAGCAAACTTACCGTGACAACGCGTAGGCGAAAAACACAGTTCGTGTGAAAAGGGAGGCTTGTCTGCTACTAGTAACTTAGGGTGCTGAACACCAACTGGAGGGCGCATATTATTGACCGAGCCTCCTAAAGTATTTCACAAAATAAAATAAAAATAAAAATAGGGAGTAGAATTTTTTTAAAAAGGGGGAGAAAGAAATATTTAAATCCCGTCAGGTTTTACGCATGGATCTTCATGGCGATTAAAAGGAAATAAATGAAAAATCTTGAGATTTATTTTTCCATCCGTTGGTGTCCTCCTGCCTCTCTCAGCGCCCAGAAGCTAATCTGAATTTGGTGGAGACTTTTAGCTACTTGAAGGGAAAAAAAAAAAAAAAAAATCCTCGTTGTTCATTAAACTTTGGCTTAATACAGAATGACCCAAAGGTCACCTAAAAACGCTTATGGCTGCTAGATATTTGCCCTGTCGCTTTGTGCGAAAGTGCACATGTAAGACTTTTCATTCTTCAAACAAGAAGTAAAAAAAAAAAAGTTGAATGGTTATTTAATGGATTTTAGATTATTCTGTTACTCTATTTTAAAGCTTTAAAATAACTGAATATTTGTATTTCAGCTCATATTAATAAAAAAAACATATATTTAATGTCTAAATTAACATAAAATGCATATTATATTTTAATGCTAAATAAAATAAAAGAAATAAGACAACAAAGAAGCAAGTCACTCAATGAGATATTTTTTTAACCCTTATTTGTGTTCCAGGTCGCGATGGAGGCGGTGATGAATGCGTGAGCGACATAAAAGAGATCTGCGCAGATTTCGGTGAGTAACATTTCTTCAATTAATAAAGGAGATGCATAACTCAGCCAAGTGCTAACAAGGTGATTCGTTACTACGCTGCACATTTACGCTTCCAGCACAGGAGGCTGGAATCAAAGGCAGACATGAAGGATGGCCTCGGCGTTGCATCTGCGCTTAATTCTTTACGCAGAGTCCCAGTTTCTGCACGTTTCAATTTGTTCGCAAACAAAAACAAGAATTAAATCCAGTTGGTGGGGAAAATTTTCCAGTCCATCTTTATATATATATATATATATATATATATATATATATATATATATATATATATATATATATATATATATATATAATAAAATAAAATAAATAAATAAAACGCGTAAATTGGGCAGGAAAAAAAAAAGTAGGATTTTGGAATCGCAATTTTATCCAAAAGATACTCCTGTAAATCACACTCTAAGGTTAAAAACAGGCTCCGTTTTCCAGCCAGAGCTGGTGGCTCGCACTGCAGAGACGGACTGGACGCAGCATCGTTTATAAACGGTGGAAACCTTGCCAGCTATGAAATGCTTTCCCTCAGACTTCCTCCTACGCTTAGTTTCGCACTTCTGAGGGGCTTCGGACTCACTGGGAGTGTTTTGCTTTTCCATTCCTCTCTAAGGCCGTTTTACAAACAGGACATTTGCGGCCATAAATTTCGCCGCGGTCCTCACTGACAGGTGTAATTGTAATGCGCAGCGAAAACTGCAGACCCCCCGAAGACATCAATGTACAGGAAAAAGGAATCTTTCTTTTGTTTCTACTTTGGTTTTTTTTTATTTATTTATTTATTTATTTATTTATTTATTTATTTATTAAGTTTGTTGTACTGAAATAGAAAATTAGGAAAATAATTTGTGAAAGCAAAGTAAAATAGAAAAGTAGAAAATACACAATAGAATAAATAAATAAACAAATAAATAAATAAATAAATAAATAAATAAATAAATAAATAAATAAATAACATTGGGAACATAAAATGTGACATGCGCAAGCCATATTGAAAAATGTATGTGCCACCAACGCACCCTACCTCTTTCACTTGCTCTCTCCCTTTCTCTCGCTCACGTGCACGCACGTTCACCTCGTGCACGCTCACGTACAGCCCACTCCCCGTCCCCTCCCCTTCATAATTCTTTTAATATCAGCCTCTCGCCTGCGTAGAAATGGACCCCTGAATGCGCGTGCACGGAACAACAATTAGTGCGCGGCGGGCTTTGTGAGGCCTGTGATTAGTGAAAAGGGCATTGTGTGTATGTGTGTGACAAATGCTGATTCAGCTTATTTGTGAGCGACTACTAAAGCCTCCCAGAGGGTCCCTTTTAGTAAAAAGTTAAACTTTAACTGCTTTGTGGAAAGAAGAAGAAGAAGAAGAAGAAGAAAAAAATAGCCAAACGGCCAGACTTTGAAGCTGGTAAACCGTTGGAGTTTTGACTTGAAGGTTTTGAGGAGCAGCCACGGCCATTCTCTTTGTGCGGTCCTGATTTCTGATTATTTGTCTTTCACATTGAAGATGGTGCAGTTGTAACAAGTGATGTGTTTCTGCCTACAGCTCACAGACTGGAGCAACTGTGGGAAACACCAATCACGTGAATAATCAACACCCATTTTGTGGCTTTGAATCCACAAAATGCAGAAGGCAACCTACTATGACAACTCTGGACTGTTTGGAGGCTACACCTACCCCAAACCAGACTCCTACAGCTATGGCCCTGCTCACCAGTCCTACCCTGCTCCTAACATTGACACTGATTACCAAGGCTCTGTGTGTCCTATTCAAACCTCCGCGGTTAGGCCACCTCCAGCCCTTAAGGACAGTGACCTGAACGGGGACTGCATGCGGCAAAGCAGCAGTCAGAGCAACAACAACAACAGCAGCAACAGCAGCAGCAGCAGCGGTGGCAGCAGCCAAGCAAACAGTATTTCTGAGCAGCAGGTACCCCCACTGTCTGCTGCCTCCCCGAGCTCCAACAGCTCCACATCCCAGAAGAAGAAGTCTCCAAGCAACAGCGCGTCAGGCCCGGCCACCCCGGCCCTCACCAAGCAGATCTTCCCCTGGATGAAGGAGACCAGGCAGAACTCGAAGCAGAAGAGCAACAACAACTGCGCTGCTGCAGGTAGAGATCCTGATGGTGCGTATGTGTGTAAGAGTGTGTGGATAGCATGCAGGGCCGGCCTAAGGTATGGGCAAACTCTACTCTTATTGGCCCCAGGAGATCATGCTGATGACACATATGCAGGAAACGTTTCCAAAACTGAAAGTCGTGTCAGCAGAGTCATTGTGGAAATGACTCTCCATCTCTAAGCATTTTCCACTTTGGTCTAATATTTATAGCATAAACTACACTCAGCTGAGTAAAAACCTGAAAACGTGTCTTCTGGCAGACCAAATATTAATTTAATTAGGAACATGGTGAACAATTTACGCCATGTCTGATCATAGTCTCTCTCTTATGTTTTGAGCTCAGGCAAGCTTCATAGACTCATTATAAAATATAAAACATTGGAATGAATCAAATATGTTAATAACAGGCATTTTATTTGAAGTGATGTTAATTTACTAAATAATTTAAAGTGGCTGACTTAATTGTAAGCATAGCATTCTGCATTATGGTCAGTAATCTCTACTTTCTATTGAATAAAAAAAATACTAACTTAAGCAGGTTGAGGCCAGAGGTGCTGTTGTGGCTGGAGGGTGTAGCTGGAAAGTTGCCCCCAAATGAAATCCTGCTTTGACCCTCATTCACCTTGCAACTGCAATCCCACTTTCTGGTTTATACGTGAGCTGGAAAATATGTTATTTCCCCCCACAACATTCGCTTATCAAATTGCATCAAAGATTTGCAACCGTTAAACAACAAAGTGCCAAAAAGTTCATTTAAAATACCATTTAAATAGAAAGGCCATTTACATTGTAGAAAAATATGAAGGATAAAGGAAAGACCAATGAATTATGCACAGTATTGTTTCTGCAAACAGGACTGAATTGTGAAGACAGATTTGTTTGCATTTTTGCTATAAATATTCAGAGCATTTAAGAGATTCTGCAGATATTTCTCCAAATTTGGGAGCCACAAGCCATGATGTCTATTTCATATCTAAAAAGGAGTTTGATTTTCCATTTAAAAAATACAAACAAACAAGTAATGTTGGTTTAGGTCATAAATCCAACAGAAAAATTGGCTAAAGTGCATAAGTGTTGTTCCCTTCAACGTATTTGAAAGTCAGGCTAGCTAAGCTAACTTTATTTATTTATAAGTTTAAACAACAGCAAGAACTGAGTAAAGCATATAACAGAGTAAAATTAATTTAAAATATTGCTTAAAGATAAAATAATACTTAGAAAAACATGCAGTAAATATTTCTGAATAACATGAATGACACACTTAAGATAACATTAATAGACTGGCAAATATTTTCATTCCAGTCTGCTGGTTTGGAAACATGAGTCTGGAGTTAATGTTTAGATTTTGTGCCCCTGTAAGCCTCCATGTGTGGCAACGCCCCTGGCCTTGTTCAACCTTGAGCCGGCGCTGTTTGTGTCTGGGCCTTAACACGTTTACGCTTCAGACGAACTGCTTTTCGTGTTTGCACGACAACGCTAAGATGCTGTGATTTGTCTCCTCAGGTGGGGAGGTGAGTGATGAGAAAAGCCCGCCCGGACCGGCCTCCAAGCGGGTCAGAACTGCTTACACCAGCGCGCAGCTTGTGGAGCTGGAGAAGGAGTTTCACTTTAACCGCTACCTTTGTCGCCCACGGAGGGTGGAGATGGCCAATCTGTTGAACCTCACCGAGCGTCAGATAAAGATTTGGTTTCAGAACAGGAGGATGAAATATAAAAAGGATCAGAAGTCAAAGGGGCTTGCGCACTCCCCGATGGGACACTCCCCGGACAGAAGCCCGCCGCTGAGCGGGCCCAATCACACCGGATACGCGGGCCAGCTCCAAAACGTGAACAGCCTGAGCTACGACGCGCCCTCGCCGCCGCCCTTCGCCAAGCCCCAGCAGAACATGTACGGCCTGGCCGCGTACACGGCGCCGCTGGGCGGCTGCATCCCTCAGCAGAAGCGCTACCCGGGCTCCGAGTACGAACACCACAGCATGCAGAGCAACGGAAGCTTCGCCAACGCCAATTTGCAAGGCAGCCCCGTGTACGTGGGTGGGAACTTTGTTGATTCCATGCCAGCCTCGGGCCCCATGTTCAACCTCGGCCATCTCCCCCACCCATCATCCACCAGCGTGGACTACAGCTGTGCAGCTCAAATCCCAGGAAACCACCACCACGGACCGTGTGACCCCCACCCCACGTACACAGACCTCACCTCTCACCAAGTTTCTCAGGGAAGGATTCAGGAAGCGCCCAAGCTGACGCATTTGTAATATTATGACGTTTCTTGTGCGTGCGTGTGTATGTGTGCGTGTGTGCGTGCGTGCCAAATTACGTTGCGCTCTTTTTTATTACCTCACTAGACTATTAACTATGCTCCGAGAGAGCCGTGTGTACTATGACAGTATTATTGATATTATTATTAATGCTATTGTGTAATTATTTTCTAAATAATACAGCTTTGTCCATTTCTCTTAAAATTTGGAGAAGCTCTAGCCTGATTGTTAATAGTTCTTTTGTTGTTTTTTCCCCTTTTCGTTTATTCTCAAGTGCAATGCGCAATGTTTGACTGAATATTTCATGCCGTTACTTGAAGGTAAGTCTTGTAGATCACAAAAAGTAGAAGATCATTCTTAGATGGAAAGATTTTTAGGGGGAAAAAAAAGAAGAAAAAATTGTCTGCTTGTTAAAGGATCTCATTTTTTTCCTCACCCTATTTATTTATTGCGTCATTAATTTTGCATAATCCCCGGCACTATAGCATATAGCCTATTTAATTATTTAATTGCTTTTGTATTGCACATTATTTATCGTTTATTATGCGAGTATTTATAAGTGTGGATTTCCGTTGTTGCCAGATCGGACAGAGCGGTGCACTTGTTGGGCAAAACAGGGTTTGTGTATTTTTTTTATTTTATTTTATTTTTTTCAGAAATGCTACCGAGTATTGATGGAGCATTTCGAATTGTATAAATCTGAGACAAATGGGGGCATTTTATAGCGAGTAAACATGTCCACGGTTAATCTCGTGTCAAAACCTTAAGCGAAACGTAGACTATCGAAAAATCAAATATTACGCACACCAGCATGTCATTTTGTGTAGTCCCTTGCGTTTCCTTTTTTTCTTTGTTGTTGTTGTTATAATTATTTGTCTTCCATTGTTATTCCATTCAGTTGGACACCCATAAATTTATGAAACCCCGATGATATTGAAATGTTATATTTTATTGTGTTTAACATTTTGTAAATAAAGTGCTTAAACTTGTATTTGCTCGTTGAGATTTGTTGGTCTCTGTACACAACGCCGCAGTGTCTCCTTGCTGCCACTGTAGCAGAGCGAAGGAGGTTTATTGACCCGCAGCCTTCACTGTACAGTCCAAACAGACAGAGACGATCAATAATTAGACACCAGGATATCTAAAACTCATCAGACGGCTCTATGCTCCCAACGTAAAGTGCATTTTAGCGGAATAAAAGGCTCTCGCGAATATTGATGTTTTATTGGTATGAAGGGAAGTGAGTCTGTGGGCTTATTGCATCCTCCACATGTCGCTTATCATATTTTAAGACTCGGCCACATGATTAGCCTTCCTCCCTCGTGCAATAGAAAGGACCAAATAAGCTCTTCCAAGTAAAGAGCGGAGAGTAACCGCTGGCGGTTTAATTGATTTCAAAATACTAATAAAGCAGATAGGTGCCAATAAAATAAAAAAAAAGAGAAAGAGAGAGAGAAAGAAAAATAAAATACATGGTGGCGCTTTGACATTGGGAGAGACACGGCGATGTGTGTGTGTGTGCCTGAGAAAGAGAGAGAGGGGGTAGAAAGAGCAGTTCATCCTTTATTGCTCCTGGAGAGCCATTTCAAAGCTCATTAATCAAAAACTCGTCGCTTTCAGGCTCCTCGCTGATTCCCCCCTCCATGTGAACAAAGCATTTGCATTCCAAATCCAAGAAACACATTTCTAACCGAGCCAATCTTGAATGGTGGGGGGAGAGAATTTAAGAAAAAAAAAGAGAGAGAGAGACACAGAGAAAGAATAAGTAAGATGTTCTGGTTTTCTATAAGATGATAGATCCTGCGATTTAAGAGCGCATGAAGGCAAATGAAACTCTTGTCACAGAAATGATCAGCGGCTTTAAATCTGCGCAGGTTCACAGTCACTTTCATTCCCTTAAACTTTCCTTCATGCCAGACAGCCGTCTGAGCGCGCAGTTAAAACAAATCCCTTCAAACAAAAGCTATTAAATTGATCTGATCTTTCAAAACAAAGAGTCATACTGAATCATTTGAGCTACTGGGGGGAGGCTGGGCTGCAAACCAGCCCAGTGTTCAGGGGACGGCGGCCATTTTACCCCCGCTGTGCTCTGATACTCCACTTTCTGTGCAGAGCAAGTCATTTAATTGAAATATGTATCAAAAATAGGATTGATCATGAGGACAAAGGTGTGACAGGCTTATAGATTGAAAAGGCAGCGAAAAAGACATTTTAATTAACATATATATAAAATCAGAAGAATAAACGATTTGACAGTAAACATCTATTTTAGAAGCTAACTATTAAACATGGAGACAAAACAAGTAGTTTACATATCTATGAATTAATTAATTGGAAAATAATCAGCATCAGAATGTAAACCTCTCCAAATAGGGCAAAGTGATTCTCTGATGATGTTCACACGACACACCGATAAAATAATTGGGTCAATGAAACAAGTGTAACAATTTTAGTATTTTCTTCACTGAACTGTACTCAGGATTGCAGAGTATTTAATAGACTTAAATAAGATATTTCAAAGACTTAAATCAATTGAAATTCAATGAATTCACCAAACTAATTTTGCTCGTGTGCTTCATCCTCCACACTAAAAATAAATACAAATTAAGAATTGGTTTTGATCAATGCATAAAATGATGCTCAGCTAGACATTTTAATTCTACTCTAACAAGCTGGCATGACAACCGTTTCCCTGACAACCGCAGCTAAGATGTGCCACACAGAAAGCAACTGTCTGAGGATAAAGAAACTCGGCTTGTTTAGAAGTTTGACTTTAGCATTTGCAGAGGGAGTAAACCAATTACAGTTGGACACAAAGATAAATTCTTGCCTCAACACAGAAATTATACCAGTTGCAAATGTAATGTGGATCTTTACTGAATTGATACAATTGAAACCATGAGTTTACATGCGCTGCATAGAAGGCACATAAAAATCTTCTTACTGCCTAAATCAAACTAAGCTTTTCATTTATTTTTTCCCCTAAATGTAATCATAATTAAATGTTTTGTTTATTATTATTTTCTTCTTTTAAACTGTGTGATTGGACATTTTTGATATTATTTAGCTTCTCATAATAGTTTGTTGTAATATTGGCCAATTCCTTTTGACAGAACTGATGTATCTGAGTCAGTTTTATGGGTCCCATTGGTCACACACACCATTTCATCTCTTCCCATAAATTTTCCATAGAAATGAGATAAGAACTTTGTGGTGGCCACTCCAAAACACTGACTTTAGTGTCCTTAATACATGCTTATTGTTATCTTTATTGTTGTCACATTGTTATTTTTTGCATAGGATCTGTTTTGTGAAGTGCACCAGTCTGCCCTCCAGCAAAACAGCCACACAATAGGGTGTTGTTGCTCCTCTGTACCACTGAAATGGTGCATGTCTTCCAAATTTAAAGACTTTATTCTTGGGTGCATTTGAAAATCATAATCTTACTTTTTTGTTGCAGTTGCTTTTATAGTAAGGGTTTCTTCCAGTCAGAATTACTTCAGGCTATTTTGGCACAGGATTCATTTAACTAAAAATATGTATGCTCTTTTGCATGCTTTGGCCAGCAGTTTTGGGATTGATACGGACATTTTGCACCAAAACATGTTCATCTCTTAGATACAGAACCCATCTCCTTCCTGAATGGTAAAGATGGCTGGACATTCCCATAGTGTTTATACTTATACTTTGAAGAAAGTAATAAAATAAACTTCTCTTTCATTATTCTGACATTCAGCAAATAAAAATATTGTTGGTTATTCAAACTGATCTTTGTTTTATTTAACCTCAGACAGTAAAGAAAAAAAAACATATCTTTTTATACCATGTAAACATCGTATGCAGTCCTACATATAACAATCTGTTTGAACAGATATGCCAACCCTACTGCACACAAAGGAGAACAACAGCAGACTAACCGACACCTTTAATTTTTATCTGATAAAAAATGTTTAGCTAGAATCTGTCAAGTATTGTTAAAATCCAGTCCTTATCCAACTCTACATTTCCAAACAAATGTATTTTTTATGAAATTTTAATAGCACTGACTAAAACTTAATGTCCTCCAAGATTATTCTTTTGGTGTGACTGCGTACAGCTTAGATCAAATGTAGCAATCTGTCATGGTGAAAGAATGCTTCAGCTCATTTAGGAACCACAGCAGCACAGTTCCTTTGCTTGGAGCTGTTTTGTAAAAGAGAAACGTAATGGCAGGACGGGCATGGAGCTCTCTCTCTCTCTCTCTCTCTCTCTCTCTCTCTCTCTCTCTCTCCCTCTGTGTGTGTGTCTTTCTCCCTCTAAACGTGTGTTGGAAGGATGTGCATGCAAATAGTACAAAATTTATTGTTGCAATCATGAGCGACGATGCATGTTTAATTGTCTCAGTCCAATTATATGTTTTTTATTTTATTATCCATTTTTTTTTCTGCAGCTGAAATTTTTAAATAACTAAATTAATCCAGAAGAACTCCAGCGCATGGAGCTCATTTTGTGTCCATGATTGGACACAAGCCGATCAGACCACGCCCTCCCCGTGGAGGCTTGATATTTACATCCGTGGAAGTGGACCAACTATTAACGACAACAAGACATTCTGGTGGCCTTTAAACTCATAGACGCACGGGATGTGGGTGGAAAGCTCACGCATCTAATTTGTTTCGTTTTCATTTTTGTAATGTATTTCACCAAGACCGACGGACACAAGATTTTTAAACAAGGGTAGCAGAGGAGAAAAGCAGCTTCTCTTGTAAAATGTTCGGCTTAATGGCTGTACAACGGGAAGAATCGTCCATTCAGAAAGCAGCATCACCCTTCAATCATGCCTCCAGGAAAGCTGCTCTGACCGTCAGCGTTGCAGGAACATATCGCGATGACTTCCTTCGTGCAAGTGAGCATCATCCAATCCTATATTAAATTACAGAGAGAAGTTTCTATTGTTGTTAAAAGCGCTGTTTGAAGATGTTGCAAAAGAAATCTGGTGACAAATTCAGTTTCTGTTTTGTTCTCCAGCCGCCTTGTTCCTTTTGTTAAGCGCCTCCTGCTCTGCTTTTTTGTCATCGCATCTCATTGTGGATTATGACGCTTCTGGGAAAGATTGGCTTTTCAGCTGAACTGAGAAATGAAAGGTCTTTGATAGAAAAACAATTAGTTTCAAAGCTAAAATATTTTTTTATGTCATTGAGTTTGATTTTGGCAAAGGTAATAAATTATGTCATGTTACTAATGCATGCTGCCAAGTTATTGTTGCAACTACTAATAATGTGAAAAAAAAAAGTTAGAAATGTGCTTGCTTATTATAAAATGTTATTTTTGTATGCAGATGTAAAAAAAAAAAAGAAGAGATGAGGCCACACAACCTAATCCAAAGAAATTTGCACAGCAATTAATTTACATCATGTTTTAAGGAGGTTTCAATGTAATGAAGTTATTTATTTATAATTTTTTTGTAATATGATGAATAAAGTTTCTGGTTTTCCTCACCTTATAAAACTTATGCTTTTGAATTTGAACACAACAATTATGCAATAATATTTACTGTAAACCTTGTTTTTATCTGCATTAAAAATGCCTTGATATTCCTGTAAAATATCAAATTATGCACCCGATGTTCTGTGGAGTTTCTGTGATATTATTTGTTTTACAATGAGCCAAAATCCACGTGACCCCTTTGGATGTTCGTGTTCTGTGACGGGGATAATCACTAAAAAAGGAAATAAAGTTCTTCAAACCAGTGTGTATTTTTGTGAAATGTTTTTCCAATATCCTTCCACTTTCTTTTCTTTTTAATTTTTTAAGAAAACATTGTCCTGAAGAGATCAGGATATTTCTTTCTTTTATCTCCCTGCATTTCTTGATTGCAGGTTTCCTCTGTGTGAAACTGTTCTGGTTTGAGTCTGGCTGGATGTGGATCACACACCCTGACCATCTGCTGCGACAGAGGACACAAATGTCAGAGGACGCCACCATCAGTCCTTCACTCTGTGGCCTCTGTTGTCATTAAACATTCACTCCACTGTGTGTGTGGCTGAATGGGCAGAGGCGACAGACGCTTTGTCACTGCATGGGGAGGGCATCTGGGTTTGTTTGATAACTCACAGAGTCCACAGTGAGCTGCTGCCTTTCACTGCCTGGACACATCCCATCATGTTTATGTCTCAACATTTGGTTGCGGAGGGACGCATCTGTCCTTCAGTTTAAAATCAGGCATATGGGCAGATCTGGATGAGGCCCTAACTCGATTTAATGAAGATGGAAAAATTCAATGCGCACAACACAAACTATTCTTGCTCCTTTTTTATTTCTACATCTGTGTTCTCCACAGATGACTGGTAAGATTTTTTTTAATGCCTCTATATTTGTGGTTGTTTTCCTTTGTAATCGTTTCAAACAGCTGTAAAGTTTTTGTATCATCTGACATCGTTTGCAACTTTCTCCAGATGTATTTTTTGATACGCCCTAAACAACTAAGCAGCACTTTTACTGCAATAAAATAATCTATCAATGGGAAATAAAAAAGAATAATAATTTTAGCACATTTTTCAAATATGGAAGAAAAGAATCCCACATGAAGGAAATTCTGTTTTCAACAAAACTGCTGGAGCCGCCAATAGTGGTGCTCTTTTAAATTCTTTAAAAAAACAAAAAACAAAAAGCTTTTTTATATTTATGCAATTGATGGTGTAAAGATATTTTATTCCATTTGTTAAATGTGAAGTGACACAGGCCAGCTTCTATTAGTTAGAAGCTGGCCTGATTGAAGATTGGCAATCTTCAATCAGGAAATGTCACCAAACAAATGTCAACCTCCAGTTGCCCATATCTACAGTCAGAAAAACAAATATGTTTATTTTACCCTCAATTAGATCGGCGTTGATGAAAGAGTTCCAAAAACGTCAAACCAAAACCGAAAGCCCCTGAATATCTTAACAACCAAACATTTTAAAACTTCTGCACAGATTTTTTTTCAGTATCAATGGCACTGTTAGCTTATTAGCAAAACGTTGGTAAATAAAAGTGGTAATTCTAATTGCATTGTAATTGTAGTCATTCTATGAACTTTAACAATATTGTGTGTTATTCCTATGATGTTTTTTTTAACACTATCTCAGAATAATTGGCTTGCTTGCAATCTTTTATTTTGTTTATAAAAAATTTTATGGGTATTTTGTAACTAAGCTTAAGTGATATAATGTCAGATTGATTCAGTATGCCACATTTTTCTTTGACAAATGTCAAAGAAAATAATCAGAGCTAGAATTTCTTGACAACTGTCAAAAAATACTTTCTTCTATATGTTTTAAGCACCTTCAGTTGATTTTGTAACAATAATATAAATAGAAATGTAAAAACAAAAGAGGAAAAGAGTTAAAACTGGCTTGTATATCTCAGGATCCAGTCATAATCAGATCCTGCTTATAAAGAGATTATTTACATTCAAAGTGTATATCATTGCTGCAGCTTCAAATTAGCACATATCACTAATGAAAGCGTCAAAGTTTGTTTTCAGATATCAGAACTACAGACTCAAGCAAATACATGAAAAAAAGTTTCAGTTTCTTTCTTGTGCCATGCAAGGCCTTGGAAAAAAATCATTAATTTATGTTAAACCTTTTTTTCAAAATTTTATTGTATTTATTAAATGAAAAAAGTGATATACATCAGAAAAAATAATATTGCTGATGTCCACAGTGTTACATGGTGGTGGCGCCATCAGGATGTGGGGATGTTTTTCTTGTGTAGAGATGTTGCTCTGTGGAGACTGAAGGTGCTAAATACATGGTAGACATGAAAAATAATTTTCTAGGGCTGCAGTGGGATGGTAGTGCAGGTTCCAGTACAAGAACAACCCTTAACATACGTCTAGATGCACAATTTAACGGTTGAAATAAAAGTATATTCGTATATTAGAATGGTCTAGTCAAAGTTTGGACATAAACCCACTGAAAATCTATAGCAAAACTTAAACATTTGTTTTCACAGACAAATGACTTTCATCCAATAAGACTGAGAAATTGTGCAACAACAAATGTGCAACTATTTTAACCTATAGACGTGCAACACTAACAGAGATTTAATCCAAAAGACTTGTAGGCAGTATCTACAATATGCCAAGAAGAGGAAGAATACAGATGCACACCACACGTTTGAGATTATGTATCAGTTTCAATCCACTTTACAATTATATATTGCTTTGTTCTGGCCTATAGCACCAAAGTCCAATAAAACACATTGACGTTTCTGGTTGCGACGTGACAAATTGTGAAAAAGTTCAAGGGGCACAAACATGTCTCCGCAACTGACTGCCAACACGAGAGAAATGGCAGGTAGTCATGGAAATGTGTGCGAAAGAGAAACTTCAGATTACATTTTTGAGTTTCTCTTTGCAAGATCTGTCCTCTTGATTCATAAAACATGTTAGTGGCAGGAAACATGCACCCAGCCTGTTCAGAACAACAGTAGCTGAGGAATCTCCCTGCATGGATCACACATGCTGTCACAGAAACTAGTGCGCAAGGATTTATCGCAGCTCTTACGTGTTAGTGATATTGATATAATTGTAACTATAATGAATGACTCCCTCCTCGGGGGGATGATTTAGAGGGCCTGGCCAAAAGGCTCTTCTCCTCCTTCCTTGTTTGAAAGATAACTCGGTGATGTGAGGAAACCTGAGGTAATTCATACATTACCCCAAGCCTTGACTGAAACGCCCCGGTAGTCTATATCAAAAAGTATTAGTGCTTCAGCTCTTTTTTTTTTTTTTTTCCTTTTTTTTTTGAGGTTCATATGGATTTGCTTCATGGCATTTTCTGTGTGAAATTATGAGTGAATAAATTGCATCTTCATTTATCTAGAAAAAAAAAAAAAGCCTGTGCTGACTGCGATACTCAGCTCTCAGCGCTTTACATAATTATATTAGTCTTCTGCTACGCCATGAAATTGATTGCCCAAGAAAATGAACTTGGCTTTGCTATAAATTACACCTATGGATCATAAGAAATGTGTTATTTTGTTTAAAATAGTACCTAATG